TTTTTTTTTTTTTTTTGGTACCAGGGATTGAACTTGGGTCCTTGTGCTTACAAGGCAGGCCACTGAACCGCTGAGCTAAATCCCCAGCCTGAGATTTCATCTTAAGACAACAACAGAACTCTTAACGTGCCTGACAGTTATATACAAAATATCTCACACATCACTGTTAATCTCGCCAAGCCTTTGAGGTGTAACATTCACCTTTTATGTGTAGAAAGATGGAATCAGAGTGTGGTTTCCCAAGGTCATATGGCTGTGTGGTGCAGAGCTCAGGTCTAACCTCTAACTCAGTGTCTTCCCCAGTGGATCTCTCTCCTCCAAAAAGAACAACAATGAACAACCAAGCTTAATGAGCAGTTGAATGGATTAATGCCTGAGAGTCTCCCATAGTGTCTTAATCCCTCCAGGGATGCCATATACTGAGAATATTGGAGGTGCTATGTCCAAGCAAATATAAACCATTTGACCATGAAATGTGGGTGTCATTCACTATATAGAAAGCAGAACAGGGCTCAGAAGGCTATAGTCATATATGCCCACAGTGCTGCAGCCACAGGGTCTGTGAGATGGCGTGTACTGTTTGGGTGTTTGTTTCCAGGTGGGAGAGGCCTTGGAAGCACATAGCCCTGACACCTGTCCTTTTCCCCACCTCCTGCCTGCAGGTCCTGCACCATGAGCTGCTGGCCATCCGTGAGGCTTGCATTAAGCTGGAGAAGGACTACCAGCCAGGGATCACGTTCATCGTGGTGCAGAAGAGGCACCACACTCGGCTCTTCTGCACTGACAAAAACGAGCGGGTGAGCTCCTAGTGTGTGGGCCACGCTGCACATGGCAGATGTGCAGGGCTGCTGCCCCATATCCTGGGGAGACACTGGTCTCCCGGGGGCTTCATGGGGACACCACTTCAGGTGTCTTGGTGAGAAGTCATTTATCTGGTAAATTACCACATCCTGTGTCTCTATGAAGGAGCCAGTTGGAAACCACAGCAGTGGACTGTACCACTGCACTGTCAAAGAGAATGTATTAGGATAGGATCAACCTGGGACCTTGATGGGGGCTGTCTGCAAGCACTGGAAAGCAATTCTGTGGTCTGTAATCACTGAGAATTCTCCATAGTTGAAGAAAAATAGAAGTCCCTGGGCCAAAGTGGCTTCCCTGCTCCTGAGAGAACGCTGTGTCCCCAGCTGCACATCTAAGCATCTGCTGAAGAGGGAGATGATACCTGGAAGGACAACACCATCTGACACCAGCAGACCTGGAGCCAGGCACAGTGGGCTGAGATCTACTCTGCTGGGCTCCCTGCACACTTTTTTTTTTTTTGAGAGAGGCTCTTGCTATGTAGTCCAGGTTGGCCTTGAACTCGCTATGGAGCCCAGGCTGGCCTCATACTTGTGGCAAACTTCAGCCACCTGAGTGCTGGGATTGTAGGTGTGCCCCTCTACACCCAGCTAATACACATACGCTTTTGCATAAAAGTAGACAAAGTAGAAGTGTTATGGTGAGAAAAAGGGATTCTTCATCTCAATAAGAGAAATGATTCCACAAGATTCCGCAGCTATGATCTTGAATGTACCCAACCCCATAACCTAATAAGAAATAAAAAAGCAAAGAAAAATTGACAGAATTTCAAAGAGAAATTGGTAGATGTACCCATCAAAGAGGGTTATGTTAACACAGCTCTATGAGAAACTGAACCTGGTAATCAACAGTGGAAATAAAGTTTAAGAACCCTTGAAACTTTTAATTTACTTCTAAGTAGCTCAAGCATTAAATATAATGAGAATAGAAATTGCGGAGTACACAGAACCAAACAAACCCTGAGAACCCTGTATGGGACCATATGCAAACAGCTCAAATGGCACTGTGTGGAGACTTAGATTCATCTGTTATAAAACAAGAACAGACAATCGCTGAGCCTGCTGGCAGGAAGGGTGGAGAGAAGAGCTTGGGTCCCAGGAGTGGGGGAGGGAGGGTGGGGCTCGGCCCCGCCACTTTTCAGTCCCCAGGTCTCTGCAGCCAGCAGCAAGAGGGCTCCCAAGAGGGCTCCCAAGACGGCTCCTCTGGGTGATATCTACACCCATCTTCCCCTTCTCAGAATGGAAAATGAAGAAGCAAGCAAGGATATTAAAGTCGAAACCTACTTCCCAGAAAGTAGATTGAACAAGGGTCTGCAGGATCAAAAGAGGACACTGACAACCTGTATAAAGAGCCAAGGGCTGGGGGTTTAGCTCAGTGTCACTGTGTCTGCTTCGCAAGTGCAAGGCCCCGAGTTCGATTCCTGGTTCCAAAGGGGGAAAAAAAAAAGCCACACACAGGCCATTGCTGTCAAAAGAATGGTGTTATTTACATCATATGGAATATTGTTAGCAACTTAGTGCAGATAAATTGGGACACGTGCGTGGAACAGGTACATACAAATGGATGTTGTGGAATTATGTAAAATTTTCAAAATTGGCTCAAGAGGATAATCTAGTAACCCAAGTCTCCCCCAAAGGTATTGGGCCCTTAAAGTTTTATAGGCTTGTTTTCCCAAACTATCAGCAGTAGATAATTTCACAGTGTGGCAGGGAATAGAAAGAGGGAAGCTACTTAGCTTATTTTATGAGTTTAATCTGGAGATTTTTACAGGCAGGTCTCACCAATCCTTCAAGGAATCATCTTGTAAAGCATTTCAGAGAATACAAAAGAAGAATTGTTAACTCACATTGTAAGCATGACCTATTAGTACCAAGTGTGGCAAGGGTGTCAATACTTTTCTGGGATTAAGGGTACAGGTTCTGGAGCCAAGTGGCTTGGGCTCAAACCTGGCCTCTGCACATAACTGGCTGCTTGACTATAAACTGTCACTGAGCCTCCCCCTGCCTCCCTGTACCACCACCCACTAGGACAAAGTCCTAGGACTAGGACCACCCACTAGGACCGAGAAGGCCAGCTTAATACGTGTAAGCTCTTTACCCAGTTCCTGGCACAGAGTAAGTGCAATATCATGAAGGAAGCTTTCATGCAGTTGATAGAAGTGCAAACTGTTAAGTAACATGGAACACAGTTTGACTATCTGTCCTGGAGAAACTTACGTGACTGAGTAAAAGCAGATGCATATGTAAGCATAGCTGAGCACAGTGGCATGCACCTGTAGTTCCAGCCTGTTAAGAGGCTGAGGCAGGAGGATCACTTGAGCCCAGAAGTTCAAGACCCCATCTCAAGAAGAATTATTATTTATGGCAATATTGTCTTAATAGCAAACAAAGTAAAAATTATCTTTTGACCAGAAAAAAAAATTTGCTATATTCATATATTAGCATTCATTTCCTCAAAGGAAATTAATAAATTACATCAAGTAGATATGTCTCAAAATTGTAAAGCTAAGGAAAAAAAAAAAAAGGAGAACATGTTTGTGTGATGCAGGTATTCCGTTTTCTAATCTGGAAAACATTAAACAGTGCTGAGCTGGAGATTTAGCTCTTTGGCTCCGTGCCTGCCTTGCAAGTATGAATTTGATCCCCAAAACCATTTTTTAAAAAAAGCTAGTGGATTCTTGAATACATATTTAAAATATAAAAGTACAGGTTGGGTATCCCTTATCTGAAGTGTTATGGAGTTTTGATTTTTTTTTTAATAATTGTATGTACCTGGACGGGGATTTAGCTCAGTGGTTCCACCGCCTGCCTCACAAGTACAAGGTCCCAAGTTCAATCCCCGGTACAAAAAAAAAAAAGAATTGTATGCATGTTATGATATATCTTGGGATTGGGGTCCAACTCTAAACATCCATTAATGTTTCATATACTCCTCACACATATAATCTGAAAGTAATTTTACAGTGTTCCTGGTATGCCTGTGATTTGACTTTGGCCTGTCACATGAGGTCATTATCCACTTATGGCATTGTGTCAGTGCTCAAAAAGTTTCATATATTGGAGCATTTCAGATTTCACATCTTTGGATTTCCGTATCAGGGCCATTCAACTCAACATGTCTGTGTAGGAAGAATAAAGTCTTTACCTAAAGTTGTACCAGGGAAGGCCAAGGGGAGATTGGAGCTAGGAAAGATATAAAGGGACAGTGACTTCCAAATGTTTTATTTCCTTAAAATATCTGAAGGTTAGCTGGGTGTGGTGGCACACACCCGTAAGCCTAGCAGTCTAGGAGACTGAGGCAGGAGGATCTCAAATTCAAGCCTAACCTGGGTAATAATTATCTCTCCAGCCCTGGATTTCAGTTGTTCATACTTGTTAGATTTTAGTACTTTCCCACTAGAACAATATGAAAACTTCTGTGGTAGCCTGGCCCAAAAGGTGATGTGGCACTGGCTTACATTCCTGCCTTCTGGGCTCTGCTGCCCCTGTGACTAATGAGGTTCCTGTGTTGCTATAGGTTGGGAAGAGTGGGAACATTCCAGCAGGCACAACAGTGGACACGAAAATCACCCACCCGACAGAGTTTGACTTCTACCTGTGTAGTCACGCCGGCATCCAGGTAGGAATGGCAGCCCATATGGACAGTTCAGGTGTCCACAATGTCATGCTCTGTGGCCAGAGCCACACCCAACTTACAGCCTGTTTGGGTACCCTGAGGGTGAGAATGGAAGTTATATAAACCTTCGCTCTAGGGAGCGTGAAGGTTTTCATACCATTTCTTGGTACAGATCACCTGTGCCATTGCCTTCAGGGCCGGCGTACCTGCTGTCAGGCTGCTGCAATACATCAGGCCTTTGTCCCTGTATGCCATTGCTCTTTGCTGGCTTTCCTCCTGATGAGGGAACCCTCACCCTCCAGGACCTCTCTGGTTTGTTTTTTGCCTGTGCACTTTCTAACATTGAATCTTTTCTGTGGTGGAGCGCCAATGTTGCTGTGACCTTGGGCAGACTCACGTGGAATGCTGTCCCACTCCTGTGGCAGCCACTAGCTAAATGCCACGATGTATGCAGTGCTTCTTGTGGGCAAGAGCATTCTACCCAGGCTCTAAACAGCAGGCCCTAGAGGGTTGTGCTATAGCTGAGGGGAGCAGCTGCCTGTGGCGTTAACTGCTGGGCACCCCTGGGTGGGGTAATCAACTCCCCTTTGTGCTTCGGAAGATTTTAGGAAACAAAATATGCATAAAGTAATATTCATTATCCAACTCTTATTTTGTCTTCGTACCAGGGATGGAACTCAGGTTCTTGTGCTTCAGGTCCTTGCGCTTGCCAGGCAGATGGTGGAACCACTGAGCTAAATCCCCGGCCCCTATCCAACTTTTGTTTTCAAATATTATTTTCAAGGGCAAGAGATTTAACTTAGTGGTGCCTTGCCTGCCTCACAAGCACAAGGTCTGAAGTTCGATCTCTGGTACTGCAAAAAA